GACATGCATAATGACGATTTTTCAACCTATTACGCAGCACGTCAATGAATCCGTTTTCAATGAAACGTTTTCATGCGCCGATGAATATGAATAATGAGAACAAGACATTATTCCCTGATAAATAAAATTGACAAACAAGGTACAGTCCGTGCTTGAAAAGAAAAAAATGTAACGATACATAAAAGTTAATTGTAGGCTGATTATAATTTAATATCTATATATAAAATACATACAACTATATGAATATTATATTTCGTCAAGTAACACCAACAAAAGTTTAAATGCTATAAAAGATCATTTTACATCCTACTGTCTCCTATGAGAAAAAAATTACATTCGTAAAAATGCAACGACGTACTATCCAGATGTCGCCGTGTTCGCTGTTTCGTTAAATTCGTTTACCGATAAAAATTTCCGAAAAACACCGAGACTAGTTTTGCAACGTGCACAAGGTACAAGTTATATTATGTAATATCATATATAAACCTTTGCTATATATTAGTAGGTATACATAGAATACCTACACGTACTGCCTGCGCGTGTACGTACGTACAGAGCCATAGAAACGGTAGAACATTTACACAGGGACGATACAGGGCATTTACACCAGTATTAAGGCCAGTGCACACGCAGTTACGCAGGTGCAGGAAACTCGAAAAGCACTTGGAAGTTTGGCGCATTTAAGGAGAAAGTCGTCGGCGAAATTCATAAATCCAGCACCTACGCGCAAACAGTTGAAAAGTTTGAGGTGCGACAAGGAGAGAAAACGAGAAGGAGACAGATAGAGAGGAACGTGTCCCGTAAATACGTGGGATTTTGAGAAAAGGAAAATAGCCGCGTACCCTTAGGATCTATGTATCTGTCGTGCTTTACGGTCCTCGGTACTTCATAGCGTCACGGAGAAACTTTCACGTATGTTAACTCGCTTCAGTTTCTCTGCTCGACTTGACTCGACTCAACCCGACACAACTTGACTCAACTTCGCTGGAGTCTAATGGTTTCTTCTTCGGTTCCTCAGCCGCTAGGATAAAATATGACTGCATATACAGGGTGTCTCAGAGTACAAAGATATGAGGTGCACCATCGAGTAGAAGAGGAAAATATGAAAAATAAAGTCCTGATTCATCTCTTTTACCAAGCTTTGCTCTTAGAGTTACAAACAATTGAAGCTGGCCAAACAGCGCACGGCTGTACCCGCTGAGCATCCCTTTACATCCCCCACTTAACGCCCTCTTGGATGCTCAGCGCGCGTTGGTTGGCTAGTTTCAATTGTTTGTAAATCTAAGAGGAAAGCTTGGTAAAAAAAGGATCAAGACTTTTTGTTTGAAATTTTCCTCTTCTACTTGATTTCTACTTCTACTTGACACCCTGTATATGGGGTGTTTATATATGTGGGGTTCAGTACAAATTTAAATGTTCAGAATAGATCAGTATACAATCACCTGTTGTAAATGTATTCTCGTACACGGTATATAAGACTATCCCATACTTGACATATATACAGGTGTTTGAATATCTCAATTTAAAAAAAAAGATTTTCCATAGATCTTAAATTAATCTTTCTCGCATCAAGGAATGAGAGAACTATTTTTTATCTGTAACTTATCACTATCAAAAATTTATACTTATATGTATCAAGTGTGAAATTACTCTTATTCGCTGCAAGTACGTGAGATACATTTCGAAAAATAGCTTTCAGATTGATTCATCCTCACACATTGAAACTTTTACTCGTGAGATAACAGCATCCCTTTCTCTTCTTCATAGGGCGGACATTACTCAAAATGGACTGGAGTTATAATAGCTTAGCGTTAATGGTCCTGGATGGAGGCGTAAATATATTATACATATACATTAATAAAGTATAGTTTGGGGACAGTTTGAGTAGTACAGCCGCTAGTATGAGAACAATTGTATAGTTTCGGGTCGGACCTCAAAGTTTTTTCAACATAATGTATGTTTTGAGGCCCATAAAGAGACTTTCACACCAAATTTGTTTATTTTTCTTTAATGCTAGATATCCGGAGTTGTGATGGGCTTAGAAAGTGTTTCGTTAGGTTAGGTTAGATTAGGTTAGAATTTCAATGCTGTGATGCGTGAGAGTTTTAGCTAAAAAAAAACGTTAGCTTGCTATTGTAAATGCCCCTTAATCGCCTGGGTCCTCAAACTATACTTGTTACATGATTATATATATATGTATATATAATATATAAGCAATTTCGATGCGATATAGATATACGTAAATGTAATATAAAATAAACGGGCTTGGATTGCATTTATTATCGCTTCTAGGGGTTATTAAATTTTAGGGATAGTCATATTGTAATTGCATTCCATTGGGGATAGTAAATTGAATGAACGAAATGAAAATTTCGCCTTTAGGCCACACGTGGTTCGAAACGTGGGGATAACGGATTATCGATTGATTTTAGCGGGGTTGAAATTTAATAATAAAGAAAATTACAAAAAAAAATTATATCACGTATAATCCACGAATTACACGCGGATCGCTCGTGCTTTTGTTCATTTTTTATTACTCATACGTGCACTGGTAATTTTCGTATTCTCGTATACAAGGCATGAGCGTAAAGGGACAAACAACGTGCACGATTTAGTACGTGCGAGAACATTTATCGTAGACCTTATGACGGGTATCAACAGATTTAGTTTTAATTTCAAAAAAAAAATGCAAAATAGAAAATTCTTTGTTATTTATATTACGCATAAGTATACGTATAACACATATAAGGTTACATGTGCCAACAAATGTATGTTAAGAGGGGTGTTGGTGAGAAAATAGTATTGAAAAGAAAAAACATTCAAGCAAAGTTCCAATTTCAAAGGGTTTTCTAGACGGGCGAACTGGCAGGGCGCGTGACGATGAATATACATTAAAAATGGATTTCAGTATAAAAATATTTGCACACATTCATATTTTTGTATTCGCGTAAAGGTAACATGATTATATTACGTTTCAGGATCAAAGTGACTGACTTTCAGTCATGCCTATAGCCTATGGCGAATAATATTTTGTACCGGCAGTTTGAATATTATTTTTAACAATTGTAAAGCGAAAAATAAATTATCCACGACAATGAGATAAGCGTAACGCGCTACTGAAGGTTAAAGGATAATTTTCATGAAAATTCATACAGACGTCGTAAAAGCGTATATCCAGGATACCAAACGGCAAAGAAAAGCCGTAAGCTGCTATTGAAATTGCTACAGAAGCTTTTTCTTAGATTCTCCCCCCCCCCCTTCCCTTTCACTCATCTGTCGAATTTTTCTTAGCTTTTATCATCGTTTTGCCTTTTTTTTTCATATCCAGACGTTCATGATCGTCTTGTACGTTTTCATGTGAGACGTAGCCCTCGCGATATTTATCGTCGAATCGAAGCAAACGTCGATTCGATGAATCTCACATTTTTCTGGCTATTTAAATATCCATTTCATGAAGCATTCATGAGGGGGTACCATTACGTCAGAGACTTGTATCCAGCAGGTGCGATATCGTATAGGGTGAATGGAAAAAAATGTCGAATCATCCCTTATGAGAAAGAAATGGAATATATAAGAATTGTCATTTTCACGATGGTATCTGAACGATTATACAAATTTCAAAGAGATTAGTCACATCGATGTGCACCTTTATATCGGATACATATACATATATGAGTGTATATTTGTTGCTAAGGGATACTCTGGGGACGATCTCATTTACGAAGTCGCTATTTTTACGACAAGTGGCTATTTTGGGGACCGTCCTCAAAGATTTTCCAGTGTAATGACTGTTTTGAGGACGATAAAGCGGACTGTCACACCAAATTTGTTTATATTTTTTTAATGTTACACATACAGTATTTATGAGGTGCTTAGAAATATTTCGTTAGGTTATATTAGGCAAGGATTCGGATGCTGTGATGTCCCAAGGTAGTAGTTTTTTGAAAAAAAAAAAAAAAAAAAAAAAAAAAATTAGCCTGCTGTTGTGAAATCGTTTCCGACGGTCGAAGAGTTTGAAAATGAAGTGGACAAAAATATGAGGCACGAAGACTGGCGATACTCGGGAATAAAAATAAAGTAATGCAAAGGCGAGGAAAGGCAGAGGTTGGAGGGTTAAAGGACAACAAGAAAGTACCACGGACCCGTTTCGATTTGTCAAACGACAAAAGTTTACCGCGGACCCAAATCCCAGTAAATGTATGCATGACTTTCGGCCAATTCGTCCTGTTAACATATAAATTGCCGTTTAACGGAACAATCAGTTCAGGAAATTCAATTCAATTTCCTAAGAAACTCTTTAGTGTTTGAGATACAGCCGCTGAAAGGATGTGAGGGTAAATGGGGAGGGAAAAAAGTGTAATAGGGGGGAGGGAGAAAGAGAAACGGGGATGGCGG